ATGCCACAAGAACAAAAATGTCACCTCATCGTTTTACTGTGGACTCGGTTCATCCAAAGATTGTTTCTCTTTATTCTCCTTTTATTAAAGGTTCACAAACTTTCGCATCCTACTCCAACTGCTAGGGCGTCTTAGAGGAGCGTTCCGCATTCTCATGCCGAGCAGCTCTAACCGTTTGAGTTGCAAAGGTGAAATATAGAGCTCTAAAAAGCTTAAAAACCCGCCTTGAACACAAGATTAGAAAGTCTTTAAAACAAATCTTCAGAACCGATGAGGTGAAAACAACATATAACAAAAAAAACATTATTGCCTCATAAAGCAGGTGAAAAACACTAATGAATAAAAACTAGTGTTTTTTAAAGGATAAAGTAAAAGTAAACACCAAATCTCATCGCTCCAGAGATGAGATTCACACCAGCGCTCCCTCCTTGGGACATGATGTTTAGGACTTCTTTACCTGCAAACAAAACAACACCTTACTAAATTAAAAACACCTAAACTTGTTAACAAGGTGCTTTAAAGGAAGCATAGCTGCCTTCCAAAATTTACTTCGCTTAGTTCATTATTCAACCCTTTGTCAAAGATTTGCGGATGTGCTACTCAATGCGACGGAGAGATAATGTGGGCAGTTGTCGACTAATTGCAAAAATTTGTGTTGAAAAAGTAATGCGAGTTGCACCTGTTGTCAAACAAGGTTCTCGAAACGTCCTCCTGCCCTCCTTGTTATTGTGGATACCTGTGCGGACTGACGTTTTCAGCTTTTGCAACAGTCAAAACAAACAAAGTCACGTGTCTCCATTGAGACCAGACCTCTCACTAGCATTTGAAGAAATTTCACGAAGCATTTCCAAAATCGCAAAGAAAGTGCTGGGCACACCTTTGCGCTGATGACCCAGGGCCTATGTCACTAGCTCGCTTGCCAAGCTCAAAGGGCCTTCACTTGAGCTTGGCAGGTACCACCCAACTCTCAATCTGTGTCCACGCAAAGTTCACTGAACCTCTTTCGACCATCAAATATCCCTATCCGCCGCCACAGAAGCCGAGTTCAGAAAAATGTTCGCAGGATGGTCGCGCACGCTCTTGGCAATTCTTATTCTCTTCTGCCGGTTGCACAGACGATGTAATGGTTTTCTATGTAGCTTCATTTTCTCCCCTCTTGTTACTTTGGAACGAAGAGAACGACAAGACGCCAGCTTACATCAGAGAGTTCCCAAGAAAATAAGCACGTGCACAAAGGGGTTTTAAAAAAGGTGGTTACTTACAGTTCTCGAGTCCCGCCGTCCAGTGGCTGTTTGGTTGTCCGCTTTATCATTCAGCAGTCACCACTGTGGACGCTGCTGAACGTAGCTTCACCGAAAGGAAAGTACTCAAAGTTCAAACCAGTTCAAGTAATTTAAACTGTCCCAGAGGTTCGCTCGAAGAGAATCGCACCGGTGAAACAAGCGGCAGCAGCGGCAGGAACGCGGATGGATGAATATTGGCTGTCCCTTTATACCGGGCGATAGTTTGCGTTACCTAGCATTTAATTGAGGAAAAAAATTCCTTTTTTCCTTTTTTTTCCCGTACTTAATTTTCTTCTCCTTTTACCTCCCTGCGAATATCACCGGGCAGGTAGACTGCTTTCTAACAAAATCTTTAAAAAAATCAAAAAAAAAAGAACCGGCGAACACATAATTTTAGCATTATTTTATTGTTTTACAAATAAAGTTTCATTAATGTTTCAATATTAACACGAAAGTAACGTTTGAAATGAATGTTGAAAAATAATTATTTGAATGTTTTATTTTTAACATTATTTTATTGTTCTACAAATAAAAATGCACTAACGTTGTATTAGTAACACAGAAATAACGTTAGTAATAAATGTTCCAAAATCATTATTTGAATGTTCTATTTTTAACGCTATTTGACAGTTACATATGTGATGTTAAATTAACGTTAATAACACAACATATAACATATGTTTTACTGGAACGTTGTACTAATGTGTCAAACACAACTAAAACATAATCTGTCTAACTTGAACGTTACATTAATGTTCAGGTATGACAGATAACGTTATTTAAACACACGCAACAATAAAATAACGTTACTACAATGTTTGGTGCTACCTGGGTTCGTATCAGAGCCCTTAATGCTCCATTTTCTATAACAATCTGTATGAAGCAAAAGTCAACAGTTCGTAAGAAACAGCTAAAGGTGAAGAAAAATTGCGTTGAGTTTTAACGTTATCCGCACTTCAAACTCTTTTCTATGAAACTGCTAGATTCAATCATTTTAAAGGCGCATTTTTCTTTCGTGCAGAAATTTAGGAATGATACATACTGTTCTCGGAATATCTTAAACACCCCACAATTTTGATAGGATTCAGATCTGTCTAAAAGTTCCCGTGGATAGTTTTGGTCGATGCAAAGCAACAATAGAATACTTTACCTCTTTGAAAGTTACGAATTTTAAGTTTTGAATTCCTCTGGGGTAAGTGTTCTCCTTAAATTCTTTCAACATATGTTTTATGTTTTCTTTTTTTTTTTAATAATGGAGTTTGTTGCGTTTAAAATAAATTGCTTGAAAGACAAATTTGCAACGCGAACGTGGCGACAGCTGTCTTGAGGAGACCGAAGGTCGGGAATAATTTGCCAAACCCTGCACCAGAGGCCGCGACTCTCGCAGCCTGCAGCTATAGAGCCCATATTAGATAGAGGTTCTAACTGCTCCATCTGGGTCCCGTAGATTGTTGTGCCCGTTGGCAATAAAAGCTGCGAGGAGGTGACAAACACGCTGATCGTCTGCGAACGTCTCTGCCGTTCCGCCTGCTTTCCTCTTCGCCATGAGACAACGCAGCGCATGTGCATTTAGATTCAATTGATACCCGAAGTATCCACCATTAAATTGCAAACATTATCATTGGTTTCAGATGGACCCTCTCTTGAATCAAGGCTCTCTACCCAGCGCCGCCGTTTCAAATTTATTTCTTTCGATGGTTGATATTTCTCGAAATTGGGTTCTTTTGCAATAGTGATGCAATTTTTATCACAACAGATTTTCACCCGAATCAGATGACCAGGTGGTATGATTATGCGAAGTCACTTGATATATACAGTTACCCAATGGAACTCTTAGACATAATTTCGGTGGCGTATTTAAATAAGTTTATTCTGCATTTAAAATCGAAGGAGCACGGCTTGGTTAGAAACTGTACAAATTCCGATTGAAACTAATCTAAGGCCACATAGTATTGTCAAATGTAGTTTATGGAGCTTTCTGGGAATATCTCTGCCTGTATCCTTCAATCAGCGCCAATTATGTTGCGGGTATCACCGAGAAAAGTATAAACTGCACAGCTAACACAAAAAAAATTATTTTCTTTTCTATCAGTAAAGTTTGTTTACAAACCATTCAGCGGTCCAACGCCTTCTTCCATTAACCGGACTTAATTTGTTTCGAAATAATGAAATCAAAATTGTCGTAAAACCCTGGAGGTAACTAGGGAAAGTTAGTTTACCACCAATATAATACTAAATGTTTCCAAAATAAATCAACAAAATATTGTAATGTTTTATTTATTTTTATGTCAACCAGACACGTAGTTTCTTTCTTAACCAACGGTTAACGTTTTTACACCCCAGATCAACTAAAAAATTTTTTTTTTTATCACAAGAGCGGATGAATATTTCTCGTGCAAAAGGCTAGTCTAGGAGTGAATTTTAGTTACAAACAAGGTTTTCAGTTGAGTCTATGACTAAAAACAAGTATGCTACTTTAACTATTCTATTTAAAACACGAAACTTACTCAGGAACTCTTTCATTTCCGTTTACCTAAATCGGTTGGCATTCAAATTCCCGACCTATCATCAAACTCGAAAGATCGTAAAGAACACTAAATGCAAACACTGCAGGCACTTATTAGGCGAAACGTAAAATCAAGTCATCACATATTTCTATATTCGTGCTTTTAGAAAAATTGATGAAATAAAAAAAAAATTAAAGACGTTTACGATTCTCTGTAATGCCGAATTGGAGCGCATCTCTTGAGAAGAAGGAGGAAAGGTTACGGAGCGGAGGGTTACGTGTGACGTCAGACGTGACATTACGTGTCAGCAGCAGGAGGACCAGCGTCAGCTGCCGGATAGCCGAGGTTTGCTGGAATGACAAAAGTTTCGGAAGATGAACGCCCATAAGAATAACCAGGATTCACTGTATTTTTGCCATACTGTCACGCCAAGTAATGCCTTACGCTGATTGTTTCCGATTACAGAAACATATTTCAGTTGGCTTTATGTTTCAAGCCATCTACATACTGCAAGGTAGGAATGATACTCTGGGCTAGAATCTCAGAACTAAAATATTGGCACTGAGAATACACCATGCTCTTCGGAAAAGGGAGACAGCAACTTCTATGGCGATGATTAAATAAACGCCAGAAAATATCGCTTAATTACGTTCCATAAAAGAAGTTGTGAATATATGTTAATATATATATATATATATATATATATATATATTATTCCTTGTCTGAGGTGGACGTAGAGTGGAAGTCACAAGCGTTTAATGCTCCGATGGTTCTATATGCACTTTTTTGTTATGTGTGTACATACGTGCGCCCTGTTGTACTCTGACTTTCATGCAGAGGACCACCTGATGATTCTGGAACATATCATGGCATATATAACAACACAGTTTTTTTCTAATAACTCTTACTAAATCCTTCAGCCCGTCATAAGATGACTGGGGGTGCCATTTTTACGAGTTTTGTAAATTGGGCCATTGTTTACTCTTCATTGTCCTCACACGTACCAGAAACACTGAATTGTGAAAGATGTTATCGTTTTTTTTTCCTTTTTCTTAACTATCAATGTAGTGACCGAACTACTACGTGGTCATAGAACGCTTCAAATGCATGCAGTCCCTGATCTGGCAGTCTTCTTGTCTTTGGTAACAAGGGCAAAGGTGTGTGCACCAATACCAGTCAACAACCCATCAAAACATTTCGTACGGCGTTAAGAAATTTGTGTTATACGAGTACCTGCTCAAGGGCAGCAAGCCTAGCCACGGCCAGCTCCACTAGTCGCTGATGGCCTCTGATGAATTCCTCGGTCACTGTGTCAACAGAATTCTGCTCTGCCTGGGGACACCGGGGCGGGGGCGGGGGCGGGGGCGGGGACGGCTGAGCGGCTGGCTCTGAGCTTAACACAAAGACGATTGCGAACCTATCTGGGGAGGACATTAAGAAACGGCAGGAACTGCAGCCGGCAGCGACGAGTGTGCTATGACATCCCTTGGGCAGTCCATGCCTAATAAAGACAGCAAACTGGTCCATATCGAAATCGCAAGCAGAAAAGACACACGCTTCACTCAGAGCAATTTGTACTTGCAAACAATAATAACGTAATAACCCCCCTCCCCCTCACTAACTACTACTTTTATGGTATGCAGTGGTTTTGTGGGCATATGTGTCGGACACCATGTTCCTCATCTGCCTATAGTCTTGCATTCGTCCTGTTGCTGGAGTTTCTTTTTATTTGTTCATATAGGCAGGATACACGTCAACTAAAACATAAATATCAACGCATGCTCTAAGATACACTTACCGGTGCCACTGGTTCCTGGCACTTCCCCAGTGGATACACAGCTGCCTGCCGCAGCTACTGGCGATGGTACAGCCTGAAAGTCACGGGGTTCAAGTGGATTTCACTATCACCAAGCAATAATGAACAGTAGGAGAGACAAGGAAGTCAAGCAGTATGTTTGGCATCCCTAGAACACTAAAGAAATCTATGATCATATGGAAACTTGTGTAATTCACATTAAGTGGCTGCAGCTGTCTTCCGAGGTCTTCATCCGACTGGCACTTTATAGAGGCTTCTTGTACCTGAACACACTCTCAGTGTTCTACTGTTCACCGTGTTACAACAGACATTGTAGTGATTTAACAATGTGTGCACCAACCATACTTATCACTGTCAACAACTGCTAAGAACAATTACATTTTCTATGGTTGTACAGAGCATGACATTTTGAGGTTAAGACGAGTATAACACATGTGCTGCAAGTACATTTGAACCCATAACTAAACAGAAGCATCCAGATAAACACTCTAATCATGTCGGCATGTGCGACGAGGTCTCACTGTTTATAGAAAACTTTAAATTTAGCCTCTTTAAGTACAGTATTTATGTTACAATCTTTGCCAGATATGCTCACGTGTTCTACCGAATACCTTTTAGTAGCATGCTGCAACTGGTACATTCTCATCAAGTAATCGGTAATCATCGGGTAAAAGGTTAGTAGATAAAAAAATTGTCTAAAATTACCAAATTGAGAAAGTGCAACTCAATATAAGTTTCGGTTTCACGGAATCTGCAGACAATTGAATAATTAGTTCTACAAAACATATGTCTGAAGGTCTGGGGCAAAAGCAAAATAACTCCTCACCTGTGGCCCCGGCACCGCCGGTGCCCCGCAACCCTCCACGGCGTCGGGGTCGATGATGGCAATTATTGTCCAGGCCTCGCCAGGTACTGCGCCTCCGCCCGTCCCACTGAAGGCAAACATCGCAATATGAGTTTTTATTTATTTTTTTTTTGTTGAAAGTATGGATTGAATTTAATTTTACAGACGTAGCTTACTCATCTCCCTTGGCAGTTTATTTGCAATGCTAACCTCAATCTTCAGACCGTAAATGTAACAGTTGTCATGCAATGGGTAACGTTCAACACCGCTGAACCATATTTGCAAGCCATGCATCCAATATCAAAAGTCGAAAACACTCACCCGCTGTTGTTGCGGAACTCATACGCTTTCTTTTTGGCGGCGGCCACCCTATCAGTCCAATAGTGCTGCCATCTTCTCCTGTCTTTGACTGCAGGTCCAATGGCGTTCAGCTCGGCGACGAGCTCAGCCCAGAGCTTATCTTTATCAACCTGAGTGACCGTCGGCGCGATATCAGCGGCTCCCAGCGCGATTTGGGTATGTTCTGCCATAAAATTCAATAGTGCCTCGCGCTGGGCTGCCGACACTCGCGGATTCAACCTTGACATTTTTGTTGTTGGCTCCATATTTGCCATCGATCGTACACTGTTAGCAAAAATAACAGGCCAGACCTGTAAACCGTTGTCCCATAGCGGACACGTCAAAACGTGTTCGTTTTACTCGCAGCCATGTGTGTTATTCGTCTACACACGAGGTGCCGTGTAAAATTAACACGCTACACCGTGTCTGCCTTCCGCAAAACACGTTTCGAGCGTGTTCCTTATAAAACATGGCGGCCAGCAGCCGAGAACAGGCGAGAGACGAGCCGAGCGAGCCGCGCGCCTTTCAGCCGAATTGAAAGCACACAGGACGCGTTAGTTCTCGTTCGATGTCTTTTATACACGTTAAAGTCTCCAAGCGGCGGACGTAGCTACGTGCAAAGGTACGTACGTACGTACGTGCGTCGTCGGCGGTCGGCGGCGTCGGTAGCTTCCACTGATCATAAATGACAATGGCTGGATCGCGCTTCCCGCTCCCGCAAGTAAAGCCACCGGACGGAACCTGGCTGGGATACGATTTGCGGTTTTGCCAGCGTTTTGCTGCGGTTTTCCAGCGTGCTGTAAACATGTTTTCTACTCGTTCGTCGTCATTCGCCGAAGAAGTTTTTTTAAGGCTCTGTGCACCGTTGAGACTTGCCATTGTGGACGCTTGGAAATTTTACGAAAGCGCATTGTCGCGGGAAAAAAGCTAAACTCTTGGAAAGCAAGTTTTGCCGGTCTGGTGGCGTGTTCAAAGCTTCCTTGGCACGCCGAAGTGCCGCGTCTCTGTGGCTTCGCACGCGTTGATACTGACCAAGAATCGACGCCGTGTGGATGTGTTTTGCGAGTGCAATGTGCGTAAAGCCGTACGTATCTCAAGGTACAGCTTGCCGAAAGCAAGTGCCACCGGTCTCGCGGCGTGATCAAAGCTTCCTTGGCACGCCGAGTGCTGCATCTTTGTGCCTTCGCACGCTTGGATACCAATCAAGAATCGATGCCGCACCAAAGTTCTGAACGTGTGTCGCGCATTCAAAACTGATCATTTATATATATATGTATATATATCGGCCACGGAGTTCTAGATCGTCCAACATTTCCGGTGAGTTGCTATCAATAAAGGGGGGGGAGATCTGTACGTGTTATTTATTACTATTAACCATGGCTATGTTCCAAATCTACTCTAATGAATCACATGGGAGCACGAATAGAGCAAAGCTGTAGAGCAAGGAGGGTTTTCGAAGGCAAAAGTACAAGATGGCGAAAATGAAAATCTTTGAAGTGCGGCCATATGGTCGTGTGCAATCTGTTGACCGATCACAATTAGGCGAGCCGCGCTCAAACGGCAAGTGCAATTAAGTAGGTTGATAATGAGCCAGCACTGATCAGTGATGAGGAGCTATTTTGCTCAATATTCTGTAAATCGTCTAAGGACAAAAAAAAGACGAACCTTTCCCCCTCTTTCGTCGCTAGTGGACGCTAGAATACACTCGTTTCTCGACCGCGAGTACGCAAGTATACCGTAAGACGCTGATCCAGAGGCATATGCGGCTTCACGCGCATTGCACGCTCAAACCACATTCACACGGCGTCGATTCTTGGTCGGTATCCAAGCGTGCCAAGGCCAGAGACACGACAGAGCTCTGAACACGCCGCCAGGCCGGCGAAACTTGCTTTCGAAGAGTTGTGCCTTTTTCCTGCGGTACTGCGCTTTCGTATAATTTTCTACGTGTTCATAACGGAAATTCTCAGCGGTGCACTGATTTTTAAAAAACGTCTTCGGCGAATGACGACGAACGAGTAGAAAACGTGTCCACAGCGCGCTGGAAAACCGGAGCAAACGGCTAGCAAAACCGCAAATCCTATCCCAGCAAGGTTGTCATCCGGTGGCTTCACTCGCGCTGCAGCGAACAAGCGGGGAAGCGCGATCCAGCAATTGTCATTGAGATCAGAGGTAGCTTCAACGGAACCGCTAGACAAAAAAACAAATGCCGAACTCACATAAATAAATAACTTGAGCAAACTATTTAGAATCGGGCGGTAACTTGCGCCACCTAGCGAGATTTCTAGCAGCCTATAGAAAAAAAAAAAGAAAAACTGGTCTAATACACGATGTAGAAAACCCGAGACTGCGGTAAAAGCAGGGAAACTTGGTCGAAGAAGAAAGACAGGGGAAAAGAACGACTCAATTAATACGCTGCGAACGACCACGACTAGACATCAACCCTACATACATCGCAGGCAACACCAGTGCCACGTACTACACAGCACCGACATGTACACAAACACAACAACCGACACTACGCCCGACACTTCCTACTCAGAATTCATTTCTCCCCGCGGCGCATATAAGCTTGACATGTGCGGGAGAGCTGTTTGGTCACTGACCCCATTACAGATTTATAGAAGACACAAAGCACGGCGCAATGGACAGCCGTGTGTTAGAAGTGTTTGCATTTAAAAAATATGGAGGAAAAATCTATAATGCTAGTCCGTTGCGACAAATAACGATATATTAACAATAAATCTTAAACCGGTCATAAGAAAAGTTCAAATTTTTGTTATTTTCTTGCTTGACCAGTATTATGAGCAGACCGACTAGCTTGAATCAGATAGAAAAACAAATTATTGGGATTTTGTCATTACGTACAACATTTAATGAAAATGATCCTTATGCAAAGAATTTTTTATATATATTTTGTGAAGGACATCCACCCAACACTTCACTTCCGCTACTTGCTGTACGGGAACAGAAGCCTTCACTTTTGGGGCGTTTCGATGCAGTTTGTTGTCGTATGTCATGTCGGTGTTGAGTGGAGCGGTGGGGCTCAGGGTGTTTGTGACCGGTGTTTTTCGGGATCACTGATGCAACGCTAATGCGTTTTTTTGTTTGTTTTTTATACCGTTATCATTCCAAATTTTGAAAATTCACGGGCCCGTGCACTGCATTATGCTGACTCGCGAACTCCTTCTCTGTTGATGTGGTTTTCCTGGTACCACTCTTGGATACTGCAAGCGTTTAAACAGTGTGCACCGTCTCGCCTACATCCCCGGTGACGTACTCGACGTGTTGAAACTTTTTGCTTCCGTCATTTTGGAGTACGCAAGGCAGTTATCTCGTTGCTCTGGTTTCGGTTACAAAAGCATGGCAAAACGCTCGTAGTTTCTGCCCTCAGTACACGTTGGATATCTTCCACACTTTGACACAAGATAACTGAATGAACGAGGATTTACATTCACTTCAGAGGCCACTCTCGCCGCTTCCTCACCGTTGAGCAACAGTATCAGCTGGCGACGAACCGCGGATGAAAGGCTTGAGCATCAATAGCCCATGCGCATTCGGTGCGGATGCGGGCGATGCGGGTTTTCGTCAACCGGGAGGCCAGCACAAACCGTGACCGTTCCAGCTTTTCTTCATGACACGGTGTTGCAGAGAGCAGGGAAGAGTACAACTACACGGACCACCGAAGCAAACGCACTGCTATCGTAAATCTTGGCTAGTGATTGCGCCTTTGTAGATCATCTTATTTGTTTTGCTGGAGAGACGCAAACGACGGGCATAACAAAATCGCTTGCATATTCCGCATACCTCGCAAAAGCATTTACCCCGTCACCTGGCGAAAAGCGGGAAACACGGAGTCCGCACCGTCCTAAGCTTCCCTGTCTTTTACCTGCTTTAGAGCAGTTTGTACCTGGTGGTAGTTATGCCTACTGAAACTGAAACAGCCAGTGCCAGAGAGAAAGAAACAAAGCTGGGAAAGCTTGCTCGCTCTCTCCAATTTCTCAGCTCTCAAGTGATTGTGCCATAATAAATGCACCAACGCCTCTTCCCAAAATAAAAAAGCACTATACGTTCACTCAGCAAAAAATGGTTTCTGTACGTGCATCTGTGGACAGGTAGGAAATCTTGCCCTATTTTATTCACGCCGCATGATGAGCGCAACAAACTCGCACGCGATTTACAGGAAAATATCGGCGTTGACTTAAGGCTCCCTGAAATTCTGTATAAGCGGTCGTTTGCAGGACCGAATCATTTACTCGAGCGGTGTGCGCCGCTGTGCAAACGCAGTCCATCACGAAGCATAAAAACGGCAGATTTAGGACAATCCGGAGTCAATTATTCAATTAAAACGACGTAATTGTGTTGAAAACACCCGCAGCTTCTTACCCACGGTATGCGTCGGGATACTTTCACAGTTTCAAACGGAACGAAGGAAGATTTACTTTTGAAAACGCTCGCTGCGTCCTCCCGGACCAGCTGGACCGAATCAGCTGACGGCGACGGGACTGAACCCTTTGAACCGCCACCCCACAACTACCAATTTGCGCTCCGTGTTAGTGTGGGTTTCTACCTCCAAGCACCGCACCACACACCACAAACGTTTCAGCTCTTTTTCGCATCGCCGTGTTGCACCAAACAGATCGAGATAGCCGAAGTCAACACAGCGCTGTGGTGACCCTTGGCTTGTGGTTACGTGGACCCCGTGACTACCTTCGCTTTCAAAGCACACACGACGATTACGATTGATACTTTCCGTCTTCTGGGAACATCACAAGGGCAATTTTCCGGTCACGTCTTCGCAACATGTGCTCGCAAACCTACGAGCTTCTAGCGTCCCGACAAACCAAAACAATACCGGCACCATGCTAAACGTGCGTTGTTGCCAGATTTTCTCTGACCAAAAAAAAGCAACGAAAGCAAACCGGCTCTAGCTTCCAGCGTACATCGGCGTTGCGCCGTGGCCAGATTTTCTCTGTCAGCTCTAACTTAAAGATGACCTACAGATGCAGCAACTGGTATAAAGTTTTAATATAGCGGCCACCACGAAGCGCCTTAAATTTTGAAGAAGGTGCATAAGAAGCGGCGGCACCTTTGCTTGCAGTTGAAGGGTTGAAGTCAAAACAAAACCAACTGCAATATCATGTGTTCAGATCAAGGGCACGCCTTTTATATCCATTTTAACTAGTTGGAACGAGTAATTAGACCCATAACATTATTAGTGGTGTGTAAGAAAGTATTATCAGGACCCCTA